TAGTTAATAATATTAAAATTAAAAAATAAATAAAACAAATTTATTTAAGAGATGTGTTCTAATAGTGCTTAGTAATAGTCAGGTAACACAACAACCTTTTATTTATTTATATGATTCTGTTGAGGTTCATTTTACCATTTTTTTTAATTGAAATCGAGGGGTATACTGACAAAAAAAAGGCCCAGAGGCCCACACCAAAAATATTAAAACCAATATTTTCATGGATATGGAAGCCTAACAAGGTAACCAAGAGATGAGAAACAAATTGGATAATAGCTAATTGTTTTTAGTGTATTTTACAGCTGATTTAAGACACGGGTCAAAACCGACCCGTTAACATAAGAGATGGTAACAGAAAGCGAACACAAGAGGAAGGTTAAATGAGAAACAGAAGGGAAGGATATCAAAAAAAAAAAGAACGAAAAAGCAAATGTAAAATTCGAAGAAAATATTGTGCTGTTTTTAATGCAGAGATGCTGCTGATCTGGTGGTGCAGGGAAAAGGAAAGTTTGAGGAACTGATGGTGTGCTCACATGAAATAGCTGCCAGTACTGCACAACTGGTAGCTGCCTCTAAGGTAAGAAAACATCAGTATACTTGAATGACACATATGTATATATTTGTACTTCCAGAAGAATAAGTGGCTCCGGACAATAAGTCGCACCAGCCAAAAAATGCATAATAAAGAAGAAGAAAATAATGAACATGCAAATTTTCAGTGGTACAAGAGTAGCAGATACTGGTCGCAAGCCTAGAGTGCCCTCTAGTGGCTGTTAACAAGTGTGAAATTATATGTTTTAATATATAAGTCGCACCCTGAGTGTAAGTTCGCATACCCAGCTGAAGGAATGAAAAAAGTGTATATACTTACACTTATTTTTTGTCTTAGTTTCAGCTATAAAAATAAAACAAAAGTGTTTTAATGAAATGTACCTTTTCAGGTAAAAGCAGATAAAGACAGTGCTAACCTGCGGCGCCTCCAGCAGGCCTCCCGGGGCGTCACACAGGCCACTGCTACAGTCGTGGCCTCCACTAAGTCCGGGAAGTCCCAAATTGAAGAAACAGGTGAGACGATGAGGTTCAGCCAAAGTGTTTCCAGCTCTTATACACATTTTGAGTCTATCTAAATTATAATCTGCATTACTCCTTGTTCCAGACACAATGGACTTCTCTAGCATGACTCTCACGCAAATCAAACGACAGGAGATGGACGCACAGGTAAAGGAATATATATGTATATATATATATATGTATATATGTATATATATGTATATATATGTGTATATATATGTATATATATGTGTATATATATGTGTATATATATATGTATGTATATATGTATATATATATATATATGTATATATGTATATATATGTATATATGTATGTATATATATATATGTATATATGTATATATATGTATATATGTATGTATATATATATATGTATATATGTATATATATATATATACATTTTTCACTCTTTGTTTCATTGCAGCCACTTGCTAAAGTCATTTAAGTTAATTTTCTTTCCTTATTCAAACACAGAATTGTTTTCTCTTCATTTTTGCAGATGTATTAAAAAAGAAAAACTGAAATATCACATGGTCATAAGTATTCAGACCCTTTGCTAGGTATTTAGTAGAAGCACCCTTTGCAGCTAATACAGCCATGAGTTTTTCACACCTGGATATGGGGAAACTCCATGCCATTCCTCCTTGCAGATCCTCTCCAGTTCTGTCAGGTTGGATGGTGAATGTTGGTGGACAGCCATTTTCAGGTCTCTCCAGAGATGCTCAATTGGGTTTAAGTCAGGGCTCTGGCTGGGCCATTCAAGAACAATAACTGAGTTGTTGTGAAGCCACTCCTTGGTTATTTTTGCTTAGGGTATTTGTCTTGTTGGAAGTTCTTGGAAGTTGAACCTTCTCTGGAGTTTTTGTCCAGAATATCTCTGTTCTTGGCCGCATGCATCTTTCCTTCGATTGCAACCAGTCGTCCTGTCCCTGCAGCTGAAAAACACCCCCATAGCATGATGCTGCCACCACCATGCTTCACTGTTGGGACTGTATTGGACAGTTGATTTTCTCCACACATACCGCTTAGAATTAAGGCCAAAAAGTTCTATCTTGGTCTCATCAGACCAGAGTCCTTCAGGTGTTTATTTAGCAAACTCCATGCAGGCTTTCATGTGTCTTACACTAAGGAGAGGCTTCCGTCGGGCCACTCTGCCATAAAGCCCCGACTGGTAGAAGGCTGCAGTAATGGTTCACTTTCTACAACTTTCTTCTGACTGCAATACTGGAGCTCAACAACAGTGATCTTTTAGCTCAGTTTGGCCGGACGGCCAGCTCTAGGAAGGGTTCTGGTCCTCACAAACGTCTTCCTTTTAACGATTAACGCCACTTTGTTCTTAGGAACCTTAAGTGCAGCGGAAGTTTTTTTTTTTTTTTCAAGCAAGCCAGATTGACACCCCAGGTGGAACGGTTTTGGCCGTGTGTTTGATACCCCTGTTCTCCATGTAATTTTTGTACTTCTCAATATTTAACAACATTTCTATATTTAACCATGTTTATTTGTATTGCAACAGTTTGTAGCCACTCTTAAAAAAAAGAAATGTCAGTCACTATGTTTGAATGAAAAAGTACGGAGAATTCAGGTGATATAAAATAAAGTTTTTGTGATGTTCCTCAGGTCCTGGTTCTGGAGCTGGAGACCCGACTGCAGAAGGAGCGAGAGCGTCTGGGTGAACTGAGGAAGAAGCATTATGAGTTGGCAGGAGTAGCAGAGGGTTGGGGCGAGGAGGAGGAGGGTGAGGAAGAAGGGAGACATGACTTAGCTTAAGTCCAGCATATTTTTTTCCCCCCATACATTTCCTAGTACTTGTAGCCTTGTCTTGCACTTGTGACAAATCTGAGTTAAACTCGTCTTTTCTGTACCTCCACAGGCACAGGTTGAGGTCTTTTCCTTACCTCGTCCCCCGTCTTCCACCATAACACTGACTTCTGCCTTCAGCATCTTCTTCTCTTGTTTGTAGTATTTTTTGACGTTTGTTTGTTTGTTTTTTAAGCCAAATGATAAGGTGCTTCTTTCCCACACCCGCTTCTTCACCTGTGTCTGGAAGCTTCCATGTAGGATGGCATTATCAAGAGATCAGTGGAGGACAGGTTATCAAAAGCAGGAAGACAAAAATGGATGAGGAGACAGTGATGGAGAAAATCAGCCCAGTGTTCCCGTCTGTGTCTGGAAACAACGATGAAGGCGACCCGTTGAGTATTTATTGTCCTCCTGGTCTTCAACTTTTTTTTTTTTTTTTAAACCTTCTTTCCTTTTTTTTTTTTTTTTAAATGAGGAGTCTCGTCAACAATGATCATACGGGCATAAGATTCACTTCAAACGTCCCTGGACAAACTGAAGAAGGGACAAACTTTACAAAGAGGGAAAATCACATTTAAAGCTCCACTGCTCTTCATCTGCTGCTTCAGTTGGACCTGCTGCTCCTCCAGTGTCACTTTTTTGTGTTCTAACTGTCATTTACCATTTAACCAACAGTCGCGTAGTAGACTTGATTGAGTTTTTTTAAACCTTCTTTCCTTTTTATCTTCTACAAACACTTTTTTTTTTTTCTCCAAATTCCATTTGAAGATTATCAACATGGCAACAGGAACAGGGATGTAGCACACAAATGATCTCCTCCCTGAAAACTGAAACAAATAATTTCAAATAGTTGGTATAGTTGTAAGTTATAAGACTCTCCTACAGATACTTCATAAGTTCTTCGAAGACTCTTCGAAGACTAAGTTATAAGACTCTCCTACAGATACTTTATAAGGTCTTCGAAGACTCCGACGCAGCAGCCGAGGCAGCGGCAGAACGATCATCCTTCCGAGTCTCTGCAGGAGACAAGTCTAAGCGTTCACTGGGATGAAACATAAACGTGCACAAGTTTGTCATCTTAAAACCAGAATTGACTGTGCTGGAGACCACCCCACTGCACACTCCTTTTATAAACCGAAACACTTCAGATGACTGCAGTTTTATAAATCCTTCACTGTCGGCGTCCGGTGCTAGCGCCATAGGTGATGTCTGGAGAACACAGCTAACAAACTGCAGAGATTTCTGTCGCTTCCTTTTAGACCAAGCACCTGTGTATTTCAACTTTACAAGCCTTCTACCGTTGCAAACGATCAATGGTTCACTTCTTTTTATGTCAATCTTGATCGACTTCAGCAGACGTTTAGCGGCCACAACTGACTAGCGTCAGTCTTTATTTCTTCTGTTTAGCTTTTCGCACCTTTCTCCCGATGATCCTCGGCTCACACTAACCCCACCATGGTGTGTAAAACCATGACAACGGACACTTTAATTCCGTTCCTCTTTGATGGAGAGAGAGATTATAATTCTCCTAACATACTTTGCTGTGTAGCTAAAAAAAAAAGTTGTGACACTGGTCTAATTCATAAACAAAAAAAAGAAAAAAAGTGTTTTATGCATTATGAATTAATACAATTTATACAATTTATACATTATATAAATTAAACATTACACAACACATCAACTGCACAAGATTCACACAAACAGCAAATACTTTTCCAGACCCTTGTACTTCTGCTAATTTTTGGTAACACGCAGGCTTCAGAGCCATATGGTCGAATAGCAAGAAGGTCATTGAAGGTCCAATTGGTGTTTGTTTTTGTATAGACTTTGCTTGTTTCACCTGTGTCTGAAGATTTTCTCTGGTTTTCCTCAGATTAGGTTCACTCTCGTTCACTCGGAATGGAGCATCGGTGTGAATGTCAGTGTGAATGGTTGGTTGTGTGTTAGGAATGATGTTCCGTAGAACTGTCAAGCGACTGGCCGGATTGGCTCCACGGCCGATTCCCTCCCCCCCATGATCACGTTTTATTGTACGAATGAATGAACTTAAGCAGCAGGAGTTAGAGATTCAACTGGAAGTGAATATGTAAGGATGGATTTTATACTTCACCGTTGCAATTAAGGTGTTCAGAGCAAGGATTAAAAGCATCTGGAATATCTTTGTCAAATGTTTTGTAATAGTCTCCCTCTCTCTCTCTCTCCCTCTCTCTCTGTCTGTCTAACTCTCTGTCTGTCTGTCTGTCTCTGGGATCCATGTCTGTAGTCGTACCAGCTCAGCCAGCCTTTTAAAAACTGCCTCACACTGTAGTCAAAGAGAAACGAGAAACAAATACTCACATAGTGACAAGTGAAATATGTCTTTGTATGATATACTAAAACTGGTATTTGTTTTTTTTTTTTTTTTCAGTTTTTAAAATAAATATTTCAACTTGTTAATACAAGTAGTTGTAGAATTGTGGGGGAAATATTTCAACTTGTTAATACAAGTAGGTGTGGAATTATGTTTTTTTTTTTCTTCATTTGTTTGTTTCTTGCAACTATGCAGATCAGTGCTTCTCAATTCTCAATCCCCCCCGCTCCCGCGATTTGAAATAGATAGATAGCACTTTATTAATCCCTCGAGAGTTCCCTTCGGGAAATTTAGGCTCCAGCAGCACTACAGCACCAAAACAACAGTAAAAACACACAAATACATCAAATACAATCAAATATAAACATGAGTAGCAGCACATTTGTCAATGAAAATGGGAAACCTGAACAGTGGATGTTAGTAGATTCGTAGGTTAGTAGAAGTAGATAGATAGTATTAGTAGGTAATTATTGTTGCCGTGTATGGTGTTGATGGCAATCTCAATTTTGTAGGTTCGTTGAAGCGGCTCCCTGAGTTCAGCGTCGCTGGTCTTTAGTAGCCGTGGACACACCTCGTCTGGGCCTGCTTCCTTCTGGGGGTCTGAGCTTCCTTAGTTCTCTCCTCACTTGGTCGGCTGTGATGGGGGTAGTGAAGGGGCGGGAGTGGTGGAAAAGGAGGGGAAAGAGGAAGGGGGGAGAGGAGACGAGAGGAAGAAAGAAGGGATGCAGGGGAGAGGGGAGGGGAGATAGAAGCAGGAAGAGAAAGGGAGGAGTTGGGGGGTGGGTGTTGTGGGATGGGAATAGAGGAGTTGCAGGTGGGCAGGTTGAAGGTGGTGTTGTTACCGGCAGAGTGGAAGGAGGGAGGTGTGATATGCTGGAGCATGGGTGGTAGGCCACTGAGAGAGGGAGTGGAGGAGGCTACAATGAGGGTGTGGGAGTCGGGGGGGGGGCGAGTGATTGAACCGATTGAAGAAGTTGTTCAAACTTTGCCTTCTCCACTCCCCCCTCCTCTGAGCTGGTCTTAGCTTTATGGCCTGTGATGGTTCTCACACCATCCCAGACCTCCCTCATGTTGTTCTGTTGCAGTTTCTACTCCACTTTCCTCCTATAAATGTCCTTAGCATCCATCCTTAGCTTCAGGAGTCCATCTCCTGATGGAGCGTTTGATGATTGACTGCCTTTGGACCAAAGGGGTGTACTGTGGCTCCTTAGTTCTCTTCTCACTGGGTGGACTGTGATGAGGGGGTGGTGGGGGGGGTGTGGTGAAGGGGGAGGGGAGGAGGAGCGGTGGAAGAGGAGGGGAGAGAGGAAGGGGAGATGTAATAAGGGGAGAGGAGACAGGAGAGGAAAGAAGAAGGGATGGAGGGGAGAGGGGAGGAGGGGGGATAGAAGCGGGGAGGGAGAGAGGAGGAGAAGAGGAGAGGAGAAAGGGAGGGGTTGGGGTGGGTGTTGTGGGATGAAGTAAAGAAGTTGTTCAAACTGTTTGCCTTATCCACCCTCCCCTCCTCTGAGTTGGTCTTAACTTTATGGCCTGTGATGGTTCTCACACCATCCCAAACCTTCCTCATGTTGTTCTGTTGCAGTTTCTGCTCCACTTTCCTCCTGTAGGTGTCCTTAGCATCCTTCAGGCAGCGTTTCACCTCCCTCTGTGCTGTTCTCATCTGCCTCCTGTTGTTACTCCTGAAGGCTTCCTTCTTCCTTCTTCCTGTCGAGGACAGCTTTGCCGCATGTCTTTGTGTCCCTGTCGGCTCTCACTGCCGTAAATCCTCGCAGGTCCACATTGACATCGGTTACGCTGTCAGTAAGCCAAGTCTCCGTAAAGATGAACAGGCTGCACTCCCGGTATATCTGCTGGTTGTACAGCGCAGAAAGCTCGTCCATCTTATTGGAAAGAGACGTTGCCCATGATGACGGAAGGAACTGATGTTTTGAAACTCCTTTGTTTATCTGATATCTTCGCCTTTACTTTAGCTCCTGCTCTGCACCCTCTGTGTCTCCTCTTTACCTCTGCCAGTATGTTGTGCCGTATTACGTGGATAGCTGTCCTCAGAGCCAGCAGCTCGTCCCATGAATAGATGAGAGAACTGGCTCTGGTTGCAGTTTTAAGATTGCCTGTATCCATCGGATACATTTATTAGTAGTACTCCGTGAAATGAGGAAGGAAAAAGTAAGAAAAGTAAAGTGAAAGTGGTGAAAACGGATTACTGCTGCACAGGGACCAGAAGGCTGCTGCCGTCAGCGGTAGCGCCATCTTGTTTGATCCATCAGGTTCTACTATTGAGAACCTGATAACGTATATTTTTATCTATACAAAGCACTGTATGAGTTGCTGCCACCTAGTGACTGGAGGCATGTGATCATTCAAGCATTACAGCAGTGGTACCTTTATGTCCAGCGTGCCATAGTCCACTGGAAGCTCCTCACGCCCCCCCTGGCATCGCACTGCGCCCCGTTAGGGGGTCCACCCCACTATTTGAGAAGTACTGATGTAGATAGATAAAACTTCATTAATCTCTCCCTAAGTTTCACTTCAGGAAATTAGTGTGTGTGTGGTGGCACTTTGGCCAAGAGGGAATGTCTCTGTCATTGGTGTGGAACCCCAGGGTTCACCTCCTGGGCAAGATCGAATCCCGGTTAGGGCGGTTGGTACCTTCCAGTGGACTCACCACCCGCAGGTGTGATTTGGGTACAGTGTGATTTGGGTGGTGGTGCAGTGTGATTTGGGTGGTGGTCATGGAGACTGCTGGCCCTGCGACCCGGTAACGGATAAGCAGCTGAAAATGGATGGATGGAAAATAGTTGAGAAACAGGCCTTGTTCAGACTCTTTCACAAAAATGCAATATAAGGTCGTTTATTGTATCCTGGGGGAAGATGATATACACAGTCTCCGTACAAACAGTGGATTTAATGATGAGTGGAAGAAAAGTTGTCTCATTAATTTGGTTTGACAGCAGTAACGTTACATCATCGGCGCACTGCTAAAATCCTAATGTACCTAATTGATTTTTTGGAGGGTTGAGACATTTTCCAGTAAGAGCATCGACTTGTGCATTTAAAAGCGCTCCATTTGCAGTGGACGGAAAACACATCATCATCAAGTTAGATCCAAAAAGTAACTTTGCACGGTGCCTGACAGTGCCTCGGCTGGAAACGCAACAGATCAATTCCTGCACAAAAATAAAAAATACTTTATAGGTGTAGTTGACATAAATGACATATATATATATATATATATATATACATATATATATGTGTATATATATATATATATACATATATATATGTATATATATGTATATATATATGTATATACATATATATATACATATATATACATATATACATATA